CGCTGATATTTTTTATTCGATTAGTAAACCCCTAAGGTGTTTTTAGCCTTTTTTCGCTCGATTTTCTTCGAAGCTTTGTTGACTGTTAGGGAGGTTACAATGCTCATTTCTTTTGGATGACTGAGCTTATTTTTATTTTTCCGTTATACATATTGCATATTGCACGGTGCGCAAACGATCTCTTTCACTCTTGTATAAGCCTTTATTTCAGTTATGTTGAGGCTTTCCTGTATTTTAATTTAGATAATATACATAATTAAATGTTAGTTACGTAAATATACATATTAGAAAATAATAGAGTATGTCCACAATGTACTTAAATTTTGAACTTAGTTCTAATGTCGCAGTTTTGTGCTACAGGCATTACGAGTCCAGTATTTAAGTCAATACAGGCAATAATATCCTAAATATTTAAATATGTTATATTATTCGAGAATATTCTAATCACTTTAAAACATTGAAATTGACTAATGACCGTTTAAGGTTGTAAAGTTAATTACCATACTTTACGAATCAATAGGAAATACACATTACGTCACGACCCCGTTTCCACAAACCGCAGTACTTACACACTCGATTTGTATTGCGGGGCGGCGGGGTGCGAGACGAAGAAACTTTTTGATGGATCGGACGGAGTTTGTTTTGCATGTGAGTGATATGTCTGAAATAATAAATGTTGAGGCGTCGACGCTTCCCCAATCTCCCCTAGGGAGGGTACGCTAAAACGATTTTTGATTTGGGTGTCAAGCAAATGTTTCACGCGGCGACGCTCCGAGTGGATTTGATTTTCTTAATCGATTCTTAAGAATGCAAATTGGTCGCTCTGTTGTTTAAACACCACCCGTTCGGTACGATGACGCAGTTGAAGCTTAGTTTGTTGGGCGGGTAAATTGAGAACAGCATTATCGAAAGCTCTATTTAATACTTACCTACTGTAATCAGATTATGCATACAAGAATGGATCGAACTCGCTGCTGCGGTGTTAGGCTATGAACAGTTCCGAATTAACTAATCAGCGTGCATCGGCTTTGGTGGTAGATTGCAACGTATTGTCCTCGCCCGCGCTACCGGAATATCTGTTTAGGCCACTAGCCGTTCTATAATGGCTATGGTTGCCGTTAACAAACTAAGTTAACCTTCATAATTGAGCCATTGGAACATTTTCATTAAATACACACTATAATGATATCAGTGCGGTCAAGTTGCTATGACCATGTCTCCATGTACGATCTTAAACGTTATTTAAACAATTATGTTTTTAATCAGTGCTTATTTCTTTATGTGCATAGGCGAGTTAATTTAACTGTCTTTTACTGTTACAATATCGACATAAAATATTTGTATTATTATTTTGTTGTTGTTTAAAAACAAATTATATTTTGAATGAATAATGTTTTTTTTTTTAATAAACATAAACTAAAAATCTATTAAGATAACGGCAGATCTAATGACACTTCGCACAGCAAAAATCAAACTCAAACAACAAAAATCGCCAAATAATTTAGGCTACGGAAGACAAAAGATAACTTACATACCAGTTGGAGTAACACATAACCGTGAACAGTCGGGAGAAAATGGCAATTCATGTTTGTATTTTCAAACTTAAATTTCATAAATATAAAATCTACATTAATAAAAACCTTAAATAAAAAGTAAAAACCATTCCATTCGTCTCATCATATTAATTTGTAGTCTATTACTACAAATTAATATGATGAGACGAATGAGACGGCATCACGGTGCAGTGGCTAAGCAAATGAATGTGGGTTCGAATCCCGCTCGGAACAAGTATTTGTATAGCCTACAAATAATTGTTCCAGTTCTGGATGTTTGTTCTTGTACAATTTATGTTGGTTAACTGCCTCCACTATACAGGAGAAAATCCTAGTGTGGAGGCAACGGCGTTTAATTTAAAAAAAAAATGGTTTTATCTGAGGATTATATCATTGAAATGTTAAGACAGCTGCAACTGATGGCCGAAAAGGTACTTTCATTTATTTTTCATGTCTGTTTGTGTTTGATTATCAATATTAAAATAATAAATATTTGTTATCTCCATTTCCGCTACCACTTCATCATTAACAACTAAAACTTCTCACCTTTAAAATTAATTTATAATGTAACATTTGTATAGCATACCTTTTTTGATATCATCGATCACATTAACAGTTTTACGATGATAGAAAATAAAATGAAGGAAATGAAAATAATTTATAACTTTATTCATACAGGCTTTATCTTTTGTCCGATCGAAGTTTGTTGATTCGATCACTTCAATCTGATTAGTTCGGGATACGAGAGACCTTGTTAGATTAGAAATAAATAAAAACAAATTGGTTTGCATACAACTAAGAGTATGTTAAAATTATAAAATGATTAATTTTTAGTAACGGCCATTCCTCAGATAAATAAATAAAAAAATCTGTTCAAATTACAATTCCAACTCACATTTGCCAACTCTGTTTATGTCCAATACTTTCTCTACGCAAACATTTTTATCATTTACATGAGTCTCACATATACTTCTATATAGAAATGAGTAAAACTTAATATATAATAATATAATACACGATAAAATCCGTAAAAATAATTTTATTCAATTACATATTTAATTGAATAAAACTATTATGTGTCATCCAATTCAGTTTTTTTAGTTTTTTCTCAGCGGTAATTTTTATATTTAATTTTTAAACAGTTTTTTGTTCTTTTCTGCTTTTATTATTCATATAAATTGCTGTTATTCATATTTCATTTAATTGCTTTTTAAGTCTAATCAGTATTTCAATGCACAATTCAGTTCAATTCAGTGCAATCTTTAAAAAAACTTTACATACTCTGCGAGTTTTAATACCGGTTTTTTGTTATAAAAGTTAGAAGAAATTATTTACATATTAATAGTCCCGGAAATGAAAATATATTAAAGTACAAACGAAGCATCGTGACTCGTCAGTAAAGTGCGAAACGACTCTATTTTGAGGGTTCAAACACAGAGTAGTCGGCGATCAGAGATGTTTATTTACACTTTATGTCGTTTTATTTGTGTTCAAATTATGTAATCTTTTATGCCTCTTTCTTATTCCATTCTATTCGAATTATATTTGTATCACCACAATTTTACACTAAATAAGTAGCAAAAATATATTTTACGAAGTTATCAAATTAAAATATATCCTTTTGTTTGTGTCCACGGCTTTAATTTATAATCTGTTTACTATCATTACTACTTCTGCGGTGTGGAAAGTCAAGATTTTAAGATATTACGCTAAAATATTTTAAAACTTCTCTGCTCACTTTTGCTACTCTGTAATCCACAAAAGGGTTTCGCAGAGGCTTAAAACAGCCACTTATTATGTATGTTACATTTCACTTTCAGACGTCATTTATATTCAAATGCTCAAAAGGCATTACTGCGCAAAAATCGTAGCATTAACCCCTTTGAAATGAGCGAAATTGGTTTCGACAAGTAATTCATTTTTCAGAATATGCTTTTATTCATGAATTTTCATAGTCATTTCGTTATTAAATGAGCACATTTTTAACTAAAGAATTTATTAATATTTTGAATAGTAATAGTTGTTACATAACCTTCTATCGAGACGCTTTTCGGAGTAGAAACGTAAGTGATTATCATATTAGGATTATTATTATTTTCATTAGGCAACTCAAATCCAGAAATAATGGTAATGATATAACAGCTTATTCAAAATAATAAAGAAAAAAGAAAGAAACACTTTATTTTCCCACAAACCATGGGCGCACATAACAATATGAAAATGTAAACCCTAAAATACGTAAAATGAAATAATTAGACTTTGTACTTGAAAGGAAAGCCAAAAAACGTCATCTCTCAACATGGTTTGTGGTCAAATTACAACCCTTATTTTTATAAAGACCAAAAGTCTTGGAAAATCCAGCTCCATTTATTAATTTATTAACATTTATGAAGGTTTTACGTCATTAAATTAAATAAGATAGCTGAAAAATAGTGTTCTAGTAATCATTCTACATGTTCTAGTACTCTATTTCCAGATTGATTCCCAGCTTGACAATTAATTCATGAGATTTAGGTCTTCGAGATTGATCCTGCTCTGTGGAGCGTTATAAATAGTTAAGGAGTTTTAAAGCAAAATCAATTTACTTATTGTTACAGTAACAAATATCGTTACACGAATGAAAATCAAGTACCTTTTTAAAAATCAATAAATACATAGTAAAACGGAAGTATCCGAAGTCTAATAATTCACAATCAAAAAAGTCCCGCGGAATTAGGGTAGCAGCGGTACGGTGGATCCTCGTACAAAATGATTACGCACACCGTCTTCATCCGTATACAAAGAAACGCAGCGGGGCTCTGTGATATTATACTTTTGCCTTTGAGGTAGCTCCACAACTCAGTGGGTAGCATGCTTTAGGGTTTCAAATGATAAAACTGTCAGTAGCTTTGTTTGGATTCATTTCACTGGCTGCCATGACTAATTCAACATTTTAAACCATGATACATTGACATATGGTGCAAACATGGCTTTGATTGATTTGTAAATGGTTTTTACGAATAATCATAATAAACAAATTACATTGGTGCCGGCTGGGATCGAACCCGGGTTTCTTGCGACCTTTTTTTATTATATTTACAAAATTATCGCTAAAACGTAACGGATGTGCAATTGTATAATGGCAAATCGTGGCATTACATTCCAAGGATAAGTAACACTCGTATGCAGTTGGCAAAGTAAACGTTCTCTAAAAGCTCACGCTAGAGATAATAACAGAATACGCGGGAGCGGATAGCCCCGGGCGGCATCTCAACATCACGTTATAATAACGCGAAGTCAAAACTGGTAATCTTGAAAGACAAAATATTCAAAGCTTATATTTTGCGTAAACCGTACAATGATCAACAGTTCTATATTATTATCCTACATAGTTTTACTTAACATACTATTAAAATAGAAAATAAGACATTAAATTATTCTTTATAGTAATTTAAGCTATTCTTTCAGGTTACGCGACGAGAGAGGCGACATTGAACGCGTCATAGCCATGGATAAAGCGCGTGAGGGTTCACACAATGGTAAATATTATTACTTACATAAGATAATATAATATATATATATATATATATATATATATATATATATATATATATATATATATATATATATATATATATTTATAACATGTGAACCTGACGGTGTAAATTTTTATCATCTCTTAAAATATTTGCATGGCACAAAAAATTCCTACAAATTTTGCCTCACCTAATGTCAGGTTCAGAAACAATGAAAATTAAAAAATCTCCTACATGTATTATTATAATTTTACAGGCTCTTCCCCAGGACATAGTCCTGTCCTTAACTTATCTAAATCTGGGTCTGGTGGCGATCGTGAACGACAAGAACGGGGTGATCGCGATCGAGGCGAAAGGGGCGATGGCTCCGCCAGCGGCAGAAGTTCCGCTGCCTCCCCTCGCACCCCTCAGCCGCCGCGGCTGCCATCCACTGCCACTGCGGCAGCTTCTCCTCGCTCACATACTGACGAGAGCGACGCAGCCTTGTCTGATCAAGACGACCACAACGTTAAAGATGAAGATGATGGTAAGTCCGTGATCTAAGTATTTCTTAATATCGTAATTTTTGATAGAAACGGTGCTGTTCTTTTATCAATTTTCTTTAATTTTGGTTGTACCTTACTCATGCCTCTTGTAAAGTGTGGCAAATATATCTTCCATATTTACCACGCTTGGTAAGTGGGTTTGTAAATTATTATATGAAATACATACAGGTGGTACCATGTTTTGTGGCATTCCTTGGAGTAGGAATAATAATTCAGCATTGGACTTGTCGTTGATCTTAATAATTGTGATTATTATGCCTTATAGCCTGATTTTATTTAAATGAGTAATCTGTTTGAAATTAGAATATTTTTGGCTAAACATAGTATGTTCAAGATCGTCCCCGACATTACATCATATTTCCTGCCAAGGATGATTCGCGAGGCTATTGAAATTAGAAAACATCCTAATTTCAATAGAGAAGATGGATGTAGTATACCACTACAAACTTCAAGATACTGTAAGCAAAGATCGAGCCTAAAATTAATAGGTATTCAAAAGCTGAAGGTAGCCGGGCCAACTATGACACCGGTACATCAAATACTTCAGTTCATGGGTGCTATTGTGCACCCGAGACGCCATGAATTAAAAAGTTAATGTGTACAATTAGTTTTATTTCGTATGTCGTATTTGCGTAAAGATAAGAAATCATTACGTATACTTATTACTTCCGTATAGTTACGTTTAAATTTTAATAAGTCCACTTCTCGGGCATAATCGCAGTCAAGCGATACATGAGACCGCGTATATGAACGCTTGTATGAACTTAGCATAAAATGTTCAACGAAATTTCGTTCCCCTAGCCTCAGAGCTATTAGTGTGAAATTGCCCACTAATAGCTCTAAGGCCTTTAATACCTACAGTGTAGAAATTATCAGCCACAATATTAATATCATAACGTTTTTAAAACCGGCTCATGCTTGCTGGTTTCGTACCCCGGCACCACTTCTTGTTATAAAAACAAAGTTGTCATTTAGTACCGTAGTGTAATGTCATAAAAAAAATAGTAAAAGAAGTAGTAAAAGAGGAGGAAATCCGTAGTTTCGCTCAAAAGAAGATACATTCATACCCCGAAATGACCGACACGCTATAGTGATTATAAGACTGCACTAACAAAATCATAAATGTATTATTTGATATAATCAATCATAATTTCTGTTTAAAATGATTAGAGATTTACATTGTAACTGAAAGTAGTCAATTTTCCCGACATTAATAAACCGATCGTGTTCGTTCCCATACTGTAGCCCGTCTTGATCCCTAGACACCGCACGTTTGCTTATAATGGACCGATATAATAAAATCTTATTACGAGTATTGGCCGCAATTGCCCTCAATGATGTATGAATAGCACTTAAAACGACCCAATTCAATTTTGCACCTTAGTCGAAGAGCATATTACACATGAACACAGTCTGTGTTTTATATATTTTATACCGGGGATATTAAAGACAGATTCAATAATTTTTTACCGTGTAGTGGTGTTGAACAACAAACCAGGTGAGGGGCAGCAGCCTTTTACCAATAACAACAAAAAATAAAAAACTGCGAGTGCCAGCTCGTCTGCCTAATGTGGCAGATATTGCAAGAATCCCGTTAAGGCAATATGTGAGGGTGGGGCTCTAACAGTAACAATAATTATGTAAGAAATGAAATTTTAAGAATATTGGAAATTATAAAATACAGTGATGTTTTTAATTTAAATATTATATAGAGATACAAATTTGTTGTTTATTAACAACAATCTATTGATCATTATCGTAATGAATCTCGTTGATAACTTAGTAGGTTTTGCTATTAGCATAGATCTTGGACTATTAAAGTAATGATGGATGACATGACAATTTCTCTGACGATGTATTAACATTCGTTTTATCTACAGCTTTTTGTAAATTAAATCTATTGCCTTGCTAAAATTTTCTAATCAATTAAGTAGCGGATATCACTATTTTGATCATCAATCAAATGAAAACCTGTTACGAGGCTAACGCAATATTATTATAGAAGCTGTTACATGTGCGGTGATAATAGGAATGAAAAGCAATACAAATAAATCAGAAGAGTTCGGAAGTACCTATTGAATGTTTCAAGGACCTAAAATATACCGTCAAGGTAAAGAAACTCTTTGTCGCTAAGTAGCGAATGTTATAATTTCTTAAAATATCGTGTACATCTATTACTGACCTGGAGTACCTACATTGTTTTGAATGCTAGTATCAGCTAATCGTGGCACCGATAAATAGGGAGCAATGACCCATAAGAGGTGCCTATTATGCATAGTACTAGTAGCGATGGCACAATCGACGACGCGGGACTGTGTAAATCAAAACAATGATCCACAAATGTAAATATTGGGATCATGTACAATGGCTAAATTAAGCGAAACAATAAGGATTGTGTGTTGTATTTATTGTAAGTTGCACACAAAACGCGCTAGGAGCGTGGGAACGAATATTTATTGAGTGTTCTACGAGGAGTATGGTTATGTGAGTTACTTCTGACGTCTGTGGATATATCTAACCCGGAAAGTACATTTTGTGTGTACATTAGGAGTTTTTGAAAGGTAGTAAGCATTTTTATACAATAGAGAGATTAACTCTATATAAGTTGAGACGCATAATATTTTTTTGTTTATGGGATAGGATGACAAACGAGCACACAGTCCACCTGATGGTAAGTGGTTGCTGTGGCCCATAGAAATCTAAATCTATCCTCGATTAGGAATAAAAATGCAGATGCGTTGTCACCCATGATGACCAAGATGGAATGCCTCGTTTCCAGTAAAAAGGGTTGCTGGTTCTCTACACTCACCATACGAAACACAGCAGCATTAACCTACTATTTTACGCTGGTATTCTGTGAGAGCGTGGTCCTTCCCCAATCGAGCCGACCGATTCGTGCTACAACTATACTACTAATATAACCGCAGCATGGCTCTACCACGTATAATTATTAATTATTATTATAGTTTGTCATTTATTTGTATTTAATTTAAATCGTTGAAAGGTAATATGCTTATATTATGTTATAATTATTTTAACCAACACGCGGTGAAAGGCCGTCACGAGTACTTAAATCTCATTATAGCTTGCGTTTTCTGTCCATCTAGTAACTCAACTTTGATCTTTGTCCATTTGGCATTACTCTTTATATTTTAATTACACATTTCCGACTTTCATTCTTAAATATTAAAACGATTATTTCGTGTGAAAGGAATTTGATATATACGTTTATTGATACAGGGTTCAGTTTTATTGATTGCCCTTACTGAATTCTGTTAATTGGCTTTATTAGGAAGATGGTGTTGTGACAACTCGAAAGTGCTATCGTGCGCATCGACAATGACGAAACGATGTTGTCTTCATTATGTGATGAGCGTTCACTATCTTGTCAGTTAAATTAAATGTATCGATAGATCATTTTGGACCGTGAGAGAAGGCAATCGGAAAAGTTTCTTTTTTGTATGTGAGACCTATTTAAGTACTTAAAAAATGTAAGCCAGTAAAACGGAAAACTGAACAATACAAATGATTATAGTACTGTACTCATAGCAGTATGTGAATTTTAGTTACTACTTATGTATCTATTAGAAGCCATGAAAAGTTGATGTCATTTCATTTAACCAAATTTTATAACATCCAATTATTTATATTTATGAATTTTTAAAACAGTTGTAAACAGTGTTTCTATTAGGTAGATATTTTTGGAAAATTTATTCTGTTCGAAACCCTAAAAATAAATAATTATACAATCGAAACATTGGAATATTTGATTCGACCCTCGTGCAACAAAACGTCGTACGTACATAAATCGGTTAGAGACGGCCTATTCGGTGTCCGATGTCCACTTCTTTCGCTTCGAGAAACTACTCTAACTAGATACTTTGTTCTGCTAAAAGTGTAATTAATTGTTGGGATTTTAGATATTTATAAATAATAAAACTGCAGATCAGGTGAAAAATGCGTGTGCTCCGTGTAATAATTCTCTTGTCCAGTAATGACATTAGTGACATTGACAGATAAAATAAGACAAGTAATATTTTTGGAATAGTTTATGGGCTTTTGTCCCATACAGATAAAAACTTAATGTTGTGTTGCCAACATTAATAACAGTTAATTAATTTCTACTGTTTTAATTTTGATAGTAGATTCATTAAAAACTGATCATTATTTAACACAGTGCAAAATAGTAATAAAGTAAATTTAAAATATTATTAAATTTTTACATCAGGAAAAAAATTATAGAATCATAACGTAGTATAATCCTTTACAATGAGTCTGCTTTTTTTAACTGGCTTTACGGCTCCGGGTTCTAGCCCTTTTGAGCCTATCATTTCTTTCAGAATCTTCATTTTATTTAATTTTTTTACAATATGCTGATGCGTCACATTGCGAAGTTTTTGGGAGATTTTGACGACAACTCAACCCAGCGGACTGTTGATGACGACAGCCACTCAAGTTCATAAGGCGCCCAAGCGATCAAATTAACTTGACGTTTATATCAATATCAAAGCACTTGTTTCGTCGCTTTCTCTAATAGTTCACACGCGCAGACAAGTAATTCGTATAAATTACATCACTTTTACGAATTAGAATCCATTTCAAACCATTATCCTAGCGACAAAACAGGAGCGACGGTCCGTCGACGGCCGAGTTCCCGCCTAAATTCAACGAGTCTGCGTTTTGACGTAATTACTACTTAATGTATATCACCGTTAAACATTAAAACAATATAATATATGCTTTTTTATTTCCCAACGCAACTTTCAAATAATTTATATATCCCATAATCACATACATATAGAAACTAATTTAAAATTAAAGGCAATAAATCCCGTAATGTTACTTTTATTTAATGTGCAGTGTTTGCGTAAGTAAAAGAAATAATTACAATTGTTTTCACTTTATTTTTATATTTTTAAACTTAGCGGATCTGAATAGGTCAGAATGTATTTATCATCAAAGCTCTCAGTCGATGAGCACCACGCAATATCGATGTACCTCGCAATAATAATTGCAGTTCGAATGATACACGCACGCGATGCTAAATACCGCGCATGCCGTGTTGCTTACTCCGTTTAATATATCTCTTTTATGTACCGTTCAATACGAAGCTATTTTAAGATTTCACTTAAACTGTCTTAATGACTACGAAATTCACATATAAAACTTTTAAGTTATGTTACACATTTATTTAGCAATTTCTACGGATTACTACCGACAGACTGATTTCTTTAATAGCTGAAAGTAGTGAAACTGACTTTAACTATTCGAACACAATAGATAAACTTGCAAGGTCTCATTAAAATGACAGGCCACCCCAAAACTGTTGATGTTTCTTAACATATAAATTATTCGGAATCCACTCAATAAACATGAGCATTTCCTAGTTATTCGAGACACCTAGGTTTCAAATAAAAAAGTGACTGCCTATACACGTCCCACTCCTGGGCACAGACCTTCTCCCATATCTGAAAGAGTTCTAGAGTAAGGATGTGTCCAATATGCGCTACCCCAATATGATTAGGCGAACTAAATTATTTCTAAATAAATCAGATGGTTTGACTTCAAATATTTTATCGTAATAGTTTAACTCACTCAGTTGTCGATATATCACTGGAAAATTTATTGGGGATTAACCAACTAAATTAATCAGTTTCGAAATACACAGAATTCTATAGATCATAATCGTGAAAAAAAAACTAATCCTTTAGAATAATATTTAACAAGTCAGCTGATGAACATTGGCCACCTCACAAGCCTCTCAAAGCACGGTACTTAGCCACCTGCATCCAGGTACTTTCTATTTTATTTATATAGATAACTTGAGAAATATTACAATTCATATGGATTTCTCTACAATATTTCTTTTTACACCAGGTGCAGATTTGAGCGACGGTGAGCATGAACCCGCGTCGTCTTCGCCAGCGCCGGTGAGCTACGCGGCGGCGACCACCACACCGCCGTCGGTGCCCGTCGACCCTACCGCCGATACGCTGGTTTCCTCCACCGAAACGCTATTGCGCAACATACAAGGCTTGCTCAAGGTCGCCGCTGATAACGCCCGTCAGCAGGAAAGGCAGATCAGCTATGAAAAAGGTAAGCTGACTGAATCCATATAACCGTTGTGTTGTTAATCACTTAAACATAGTATTAATTATCTTTATACCTGTTTCTTTCTGTTATCATTTAAGGAAAATAAATAGAAAGCAACTATAAGAACTTCTCAATGTTGCCGTCAAAATTTTCGAGGCTGTTAATAAGTAATTTAAAACCGGGAAACGTATGAATATAAGAAGCTTATTGTAAAAAAGTTCAACCTGTCGTCTCTATTAAAACCTTATGAAATATTTATGAGTTTACTTAATTTTGATTATTTAGTCGGTAGACCTTTTTTCTCGATTCAAAGAGTATGGGCAGCATTAACTGTACCTTCAGTTTTTTTTTATATTTGATATTGGTTGCAAGAATCTAAGGATTCATTACCAGGTTTAGGTAGATTGCTAGTTCATTTCCCCCCTAAAGTGTTTAACTATAATTTCATATTCTGATAGAAGCATTAACCTCGTAGAAAGTATATAAGGATATGTTATAAGTATATCTTATATGTTATAGACCAAGTGATTAATGTAGTTATTATGTACGATTCCCGGGTAATAAGAATAATAACAAGTTAAATCGGTTAATGTAATTAATAACTATTTAAACATGATTACTTATCCAAGTTTCTGGCAGTTATGAATATTGCTACTTGGTTGTTGCGCAATTTGGTAATTTAGGTGCATTTGTTAGGATACGGAGATCAAAGAAATATTAAAGCTCCGTTTACATGTGCTTATTTACAACTAAACTATTCATACTTTTGGGTTAAATTGTAATAACTTGTATAATTTATATGTATTAGCAGTTTTCGGTGGTTCAAGGGCGAACCCTACCTTCTTATTTACTTCTGCTACCAACTTGTAGTGCTTACTCTACTGTGTCCCGCTCTGAAGAGTGAAGGGTAGAAAGGCAGTATAACTACCGGCTGTGACTTTGAGGCATACAATCTTAATAAAGATATTAATAGTTATTTTGCAACCATCAGCTAAATTAAGTAAAATGATGTGTCTTCCCTAGTTTGAAGAGCACCTCCCGCCCTCCCTCAATTGCGTGCACTAATCCCGTCACACCAATCCCAGTACCACTACTCCCAACACCACTATTCTGTTAATTTGGCGGATGGTTGCAAAATAACTATTATTATAATAGCTTTATTATAATGGATTTCCGCAAAGTAACGCCTGATTCTATCAATTAGCATAAAATCTTAGTTATCTCAGAGGTGACAAGCAGCTGGAAAATTCTTTGTTTGAAATTTGCTGAAGTTGTCTATGGTCTGAAGTGGTCACTTAGGTGGACAGTAAGTTTGTTTGTCACCTTAATTTTTAAAAAATATTTGGAAAAGATTTATAGTTAATTTGATTATATTTGGACGACTTAGGGCCTTCAATAAATATGCTTATTGCTTTTTAAAAGATCGGACCTTAACTCACCTGCAATATCTCAGGTGTTGTATGTTTACATAGTCAGCGGTCGACACCATCAGGTGAGCCGCGTGCTCGTTTGCCCACTCTTCCATAAAAAAAAAACGATTAAGCTCAGTTCAATATTTAAAAACTCTATTTACCAACAGGATAAAAGATCTTAACGTTTGACTTTTGATGTTTTGCAAAAAGTAAACTTTCAAAATTCCATAAATGAATTTATGGTTCTATCTCTGAAGTTGAGAATAAATTGTTTTAATTTCACGGTTATTACCAAAACACTAAAATTTTCGCCACTATAATCTGAAGGATATAATTATGATTACAACTTTTATAAATACATAAAATACGAACAACAAACGTTAACACATTTACGCGTGTGCACCTTTACCACGCAAGTTCTGTGCAGGCGCATGTCGTGCCTTCAGCAAATAGCCGAAGAACAGATGCGCTTGAGTTATGGTTCAACCCACTATCATTACATACGATTTTACTCGGACAGGATAATTGCTTAATTGATATTTCTGCGAGATATTTATTCACGTCATTCCGTTTTCACCACGAGAGACATATTGTGCGTTATGGAATATCACACTTAATTATGTTGCACTAATCAAAGGTGTATCAATAATAGCTATTTTATTTTTGTATAAATTAAAACAGGTTATTTTTTTTTAATATTTAAGATATTTTTTACGCGGTAGAACCACGCTGCAGCTATATTATGGTTGTAGCACGAATGGGTCGGCTCGACCGGTGCAGGACCACTCTCTCACAGAATACAAGCGTAAAATAGCAGCTTAATGCTTCGTGTGGTGAGTGTTGAGAACCGGATACCATTTTTACTGGAAACGAGGTATTTTATATTAGTCCTCTGAGGTGACAACGCATCTGAATTTTGATTCCTAATCGAGGATAGATGTAGATGTCTATAGGCCACAGCATCTACTTACCAGTTTTTTTATTTATATTTAAATTACGTTAACTTACTAATAAAGTTGTTTTAAAATTAAAAAGGTACCGATCCATTAACCAAACACGCTAGCACAGATTGCCAGTATTACTTCTAAGTATTATTAAATAAAATATTATTAAAAAAAAAACATTCACTGTAAACTAGGAATTTTATCCAGGTACTAAGATTAGAATTAAATTTCATCATGTTTATGTCAGGAACAGCTCGAATTTCAGCGGCAATCGATTTAGATGATCTCTTTATATAAGGTTTTATTTAAACAAATGCGTTCACAGTCTATGGTTAGTGGTCAGGGAGCTAGTGGATGAAGAATCAAATGGTGCACGCGGTGTCACACCTGACGTCTAAGATAGGATTCATTGTTACCAGTAAATGTGTATCCGGTTCTCGTCATTGACCGTACGAAATACTAAAAATACATTATGCTTCTCTTTTATGCTCAATTTACGTGAGTACGTGGTTCTTACCCGGCTGAGTTGATCGATTCATGCTGTTGCCATATTATCCTGTAGCCTGACTCTACCACGTAATAATTCTCTAACTGTTATATTTTTGTGCTCGTTTGTAACATTTATTATACATACACAGATTTAGTACATACATTTGGAGCAAATTCCGTATAAAACTACCGTGAGTTAAACGTTTGTCGGTCATAACGTTTCTTTAATAATCATCATTTATATAATATATTAACAATGGTGCAACTGTTAGTGATCGTGTAGCATCATATTAATATAAGGTCATATTTACACAATATATTTCTTCTGTCTAGACGATGGTTCATGATGAGATACCCGATATATGACGCTATAGTGAAGTTATTAACAAATACTATGTTTTATATTCTATATGGACAATACAACTCATATTTACACTGTGTCGGTTCGTTACCTATCGGTAAGGGTAAAATAACATCTGCCGAACCATCCGGTGTACATATGAATTTCTATTATAGACATTCAATCAGGTATAGGTAATAATTAGGTACGTGTATCCGATTGAATGTCTATAATAGAAATGAAAATATAAAAAAACGTATAATATATTACGTTATTTGTTATGGAATTGCAAGTGAATAAACTAAAAAAATAAATAAATAACTGCGATTACCAACCCGCCAGCCAAGCGTGGTAAATATTCCCCCTCCCCCGCTATGAGGCCCTCTATTTGAGGCCTATGTTAAGCAGCAGTAAAGTGAAATGAAAACATTTTAAGATGACATTTTTTAATAATATTCCGTCATTATTCTTAAGCTAATGGATTTAAAAATATAAAAAAAAATATTATAGTATATACATAATGCAAACCATTGGCGCTTAAAAAGATGAACAAAACCCAATTGTTATAAAACCTATAAAAATACAGCGGAGGTCGGGGAGAAAACTCGCGGCACGAGTCATCATCAAACTTGAATATCAATATTGCGCCTAGGGCCAATTGTATTAATAAACAAAACAAAATGAGAAATAATAATGCTATAGGCCAACAAAAGGTTCCATTTCTCCCCCCTGATATGCATGTTAACGCTAGAAGAATAAGTCTCTAACACAATACTGGTAAGATTGAAAATTGCTCGCATACGTTTTCAACCCGTAATTTTGTTATTATGATATTAAAATTACTGTTGATGAAACATTTTTCCAATCGCTACGTATGGCGAACCTTACTGTTGATCCTTTTTCAAAGAAATTACTGCAATCATGTCCTGATTCGCCTCGCTTCGACTGAGAGGTGTTACTGACGTGACCTCGCATTTTAGTTGGTCGAATCGTTTTCATTAGTAGGTATATAGAGTAAGGCGTATATACTCCAGAATATATTTTTCATGTAAATATAAATCTAGCCGTAATTATTAAATCTACATAAAATACATGTACTTTTTGATTTTGCTTGCTATTACCTATCCTTTCATTCTGGACTTCCGAGGTGACAACATACCTGTGGCGTCCATGGGCAGCCCATGAAGTCCTTAACCATCTATCTAGAGCCGTGGTAGTTTAAGAGTTATGCAAGCAACACGGGTTCGATCGCCGCCGGCACTAATTAAATTGATAGTTTACAATTCCAGTGCTGATTTCCCAAGTGCCAGGCGGTAAAAGAAAACATCCTAAGGAAACCTCCAAGTCTGAGAAAACTTTCATATCACAGATAATGACTGGATATGAGGTGTTTTTTAAAAAACTCAAACATCACTTTTTTTTTTCAAAAGTTGCATACAGAAAACAAACAAGTTGTTCAAACGATTTTAAAACGCATACGTGTGCTTACACAACACTTAACTATGTGGTGACATAGGTCACAAACACCCTCGCACTCCACAAATAGCAGATCGCTATCAGGTCGCATTCGCTGACAATTTTTACACTAGTGCAGAGCGGGTGACGTACAGACAAATGTGTTCGCTTTCACAGCGTTATCAGATAACTGCAAGAAGGGTTGCGTGAAAGAACTCTATTCTGATAAAACTCTAGCGATTCGTTCCTGTAAATAGACTTGAAATGAATGTGGAATGGTGGTGGTAAGTGACACTTTGAGGTGTGCTCTACGATTGTGATGCGTGTTTACTCTTGTAACAGTGAGAGAGAACTTAGGGACCA